AACATTGATTCGAGAACTTCGTGCAGTGTTAGCCCCGACTGGCGCACTGAGAAACAGGTCGAGATTTTGTTAAGATAACCTACTTCCCTTCTCTTTATAGTATGGTCTGACACTTTCTCTCGCCTTACACTGGGCGGAAGAAGTTCAAAAAAACCGTATTAAAAATTAGTCGCGTCGTTTTGAAGATTAGATTTTTGTGTTATGTAGTGATGATTCAATATCAACATTCACCCATTTTCCACTACTTGAAATATGAAGACTTTATAATAGCCATTTGCCATAGCGCCAGTGACCCTATTTTTTTTTATTTATTTTTTTTATATGCTGTAACCTCATACGGTAACATCACAAAAATTACAATCTAGCTTTAATGCTAATAAGTAATTCAATTTTGTCTTTATTTGCTATTAAAGTATAACTAAGAATGTGTCCATTAACACTTTTCTTATTGTCTCTATTAAGGGTAAGACACTTTGTTATTGTGTTCTTTGCAGGTAGCACTCACTACTTTACACTAACACTTCACTATGTTAATTCAAAAGGTTTTGTTCTTTTTAGGCTTCTCACTATGTCCGTGTTGTCGAGGAGCTGGATAGCCTCGATGTTCACATGGTGGTGAAGCCTTCGTTCATGGGCTTCTGCATACTTTTTAGTTATATCTATGACGAGGTCTACTTTGAGGTCCTCATTTCGAATGTCGACATCGTCGATCGTGTCGAAGGTCGTCATTTCGAATGTACATTCAATGTACAATGTACAGTACCAGGGCGCATTGACGATTCCTCTGAGTACTTTGTTTTGTATAGTTTTGATATTGCTTTGTTTGGTACAGCCCCAAAGCTGAATACCACAAGTCCATACAGGCATGAGGACTAGTTTATATGAAAGAACTTTGTTGTGCACTGACACCGAATTTTTTTTTCCTATCAGCCAGTACATCGATTTGTAGCGAAGATCTAGCTCGTCGCTTTTCTTTTTAACATGAGCTTTCCAGCGAAGCTTTACGTCTAGTGTCATGCCTCGGCATTTGGTTGTATTTTCGTATGGTATTACATGGCTATTTATGTTTACCGGGTGGTAATTTGTCCTTTCGTTTGTGAAGTCTATGTGAACAGATTTTGATTCATTTAGTTTCACACGCCATTTTTTTATCCAGTCAAAAATGGTATTGAAGGCTGTTTGAACTTTTTCCACTGCTTCTTCTTGAGTGGCACCTGTGGCCATAATACCTGTTTCGTCTGCAAATGTGGCAATGGTATGGTTTTCTAATTCAGGAATATCGCAAGTGTACAATAAGTACAAGACAGGACCTAGGACGCTTGCTTGCAGTACTCCAGCTTTTATCGGTTTGAGTCCTGAATATGCATTATCATGTCTTACTCTAAACACACGCTGTAATAGATAAGACTCAAAGATGTCAGGAAATTGCTTAGGGAGTATGTTTTTTAATTTGTAAATAAGGCCTTTGTGCCATACCTTGTCGAATGCTTGCGCTACATCCAGGAAGATCGTTGAGCACACTTTTTTTCTTCTAGAGCCTTTTCTATAATGTTGGTAATCCTGTGTACTTGATCTATAGTCGAATGTTTTTCCCTAAAACCAAATTGGTAGTCAGAGATGTAACTTTTTTCTTTGATGGGTTTTAGTCTTTTCAAAAGAAGCTTTTCAAATAATTTTGACATTATCGGTAGCAGCGAGATCGGCCTATACGATGTTGTTTCGTGAGGTGGTTTACCAGGTTTTGGTATCATTATAACTTCGGCAACTTTCCACTGATCAGGTACCCTTTCCAGTGACCCTAATGCGGAGATTTTTCGAAAAAATTTATCGTTAGCAAAAAACCCAATAATGCGAAAAACCCAATAATATCACATAATGTTGATGATAAAAATGTACCTTAATTTGAAGCTTATTATCAATCCACGTATGTACATCATAATAAATAATATTAGGATTTGTTTGTCGATCATAATCCTTTATCTATAACTCAAGAACGGCTAAACTGATATCATTGAATGGTAGTTAATTGGTAGGAATGTACTTAGTTTAAAAATGGAAAAAGAACAAAGGAAAGTAGGTAGGTCGGGGAGGGTAGTTAGGTTAGGTGGGGTAGGTACCTACCGTACCTATAGGGTAGATAGTGTAGGTAGGTACAACTTGGGGAACCAATGTAGGTAATCAAAATCAAATAGCGGAAGCCGAAACAGCAGGTAAAAGCTAGTTAATTAAATATTCAAGTTCCCTAAAATACATATTGGAGTAATGCAAAAGGCTTGCAATGCATATGCAACCTTTCTGGGGCTTTATTCCTTTGCAGCCATATTCAATAAAAAAGTGAAACTGAGGAAAATACTCTAGTTATCAATACCTTCTGCTCAAATAATATCTTCTGATTTATTCCGTTGCAATTCCAAGACAGTCAGTCATGTCCCCAGGGCGGGTTGGAATTCAGTGTTCTGTGTTTTGATCATTGTTTCTACTTTTGTGAGGTTCTGGCGTTCTGTATTTTACGCATTAGCCAGTCGCTTCACATTATGTCAACCAAAAAGGTTGATATAAGTATGTGTAAAAAAACTAAATTAGCTTACTAATTTTTCAATGTGGTCTTCAACACTCAATAATAGGCGTTGTGGTGCCATGCTTCCGCACGATGGGTCGGCTCGACCGGAGTGATACCACGACCTTACAGAAAACCGGCGTGAAGCAACCACATTGAGTTTCGCCGTGTGAGTGAGGTTACAAAATACAAATCCTTAATCCCCAAAAGGTCGGTAACGCACTCGTAACTCCTCCGTTGTTGTGGCTCTCCATAGGCGACGCTGATTGCTTACCATCAGGTTATCCGTTTGTTCGTTTCGTTTCGTTCGTTGTTGATTTTTATTCTTCCATTTCTTTCTACTAGTTTATGTTACTCAGTGGTATGGTTGTTAATCCATAAGGATTCTATTAATAAGACTCTGTTGTTTGCCGTCTCTCTATTGGTTTTACAAGGCTGTATTTGGTATGACAAGTGAGGCGATTTGTGTGTGTCAACCAGTCACATGATCGATGTCCTAAAATTGAGGTCCCGGTACCAGACCCTGTGGAACACCGAGTAAAATACTATTTTCATTAAATTAGGATTACAGTATAAAAAATAAAAAGATCAAAACAAATTGAAGACTTTCACATTTCTATATTATATGTGCACTTTATAAATACTCGCATTATGTTGTGTCTGTTCACACTTCGATTGTCACCCTGTTTTCATTTTCCCTTTTAAATAAGGAACTTTCTAATGTTAAACCAAGAGGTCAAAAGTACGTATACATATACAATTTTGCAAACAATTAATTTATTGTGTGTTCTTATCAAATTATTGACTTATGACGTGGGTACGAAGATTAGTATATAAACAGATACAAGCCACAACCTTCAACATACGAATAGCCGACAACATGTGGAAGTGTGCATTACTGCTGTCTGTCTGTTATCTGGGCCTGGCTGCGGCTCAGGAATTATCTGAAGACGTCAATCCATCTCATTATCCACATGGTGCGTTTTTGAAACTCCACTCTTACTTGATCCGTCTTTGTGTTATAACATACCAATATACCATCTTTTTCAAAAAATAAATCCCTTCCTACGGAGTAAAAAGTTGCGCGATTGGTGTTAAAATTTACTGGGTACGTGCAGTATCTATAAAATATTAACACCCACAAAACCATTAAAATTTTAAATGTTATGTGTCTATAAGAATCGAACCATATAAACAGTTTATTTTTGAGGGGGAAAATCGTTCAATGTCTTTTCTCGACCTAGACGGGGTGAGAAGGAGGGTCAGACTCTTACAGGCTAAAAATCACTCCGTTGCTTTTCCTGCTCCAGACTGAGGCCGCGGTCATTTTAATGCTGGACCTCACCAAACAGAACACTACCATAGAATCCGTGCTAATCTGAAAACGAAACTTACATTATTGAGAACGTCATACTACAAGTAAGTTTGCTTAATAGGTATTTACTGTTTCCAGCTTGTGGTGAAAATGAATATTACGAATGCGCATACCCATGTCCACCAGAGAAGACCTGTCAAACGCGTTTGATTGCAGTAATTTGTCCAGCTGTTGTGATGCCTTGTACACCACAATGTGTTTGTAAGCCGGGTTACTACAGGGACGGTCCAGGTGGCCCCTGCATATCAGAAGAAGAATGTGGTATGTGTAAAAATACAGGGTGTTAAAAGACACTTAACGAAGCCGAAAGCCACGTATTCTACCCATTATTTGGATCATTTTTTTCTTTAAGACTATAGCTGGGACTCCACGGGGTCTCGAGATATTGAAGGTCAAAGATGCATTTTTATTTTTTTCTGCGCAATCGATTTCTATCTATTATTACAAAACTTTTTTCCAAACAAACATTACCTGAATTTTCGATTTTTCTAAATAAATTACGCATTTGAAGTTACGAACAGTAATGTACGTAATAAATAAATGCAGACCCGCACAAAAAATATCGTGCATCTCAGTAGGATTTTTATTTTATAGAATCGTTTTGTTGTTGCGAAGTAAAACGTCGACCTACGTACTTATCACAGCGTTTTAATGCTAAGCTGTGAACCTACGCACACAATGACACGAAGCCCGTTTGCTTTACATTGCGCGCAATATTTATTTTTTTTGATACCTAAAAATTAAAGTCGTTTCCCAGTGATAATAAAATTAAGCGTAAAGCTACTTAGTTAGAACTGCAGTATGCGTAGTTAACGGCTTCGTTAAGTGTCTTTTTACATGAAATTTAATATTCCGACCATGAAAATTGTGTATTTATAAAAAAATTGTTCACAAACAAACCCGTTTGGATCATCGATTATATCCTTCTAAGTTCAGGCGTTCCACAAGGGCCTATCTTGGGGCCACAGTGATTTCTCATTTTAATTAATGACGATGTTTAATAAAACTACTTTCTATTTAATCTGGAACTGTATTAATTTTAAACTTGTTTGTGTTTCCTGATTTTAGGACCAGCTTGTTATGAAGGCGAGGAGTACAAAGAATGCAAAAATCCTTGTGTGGACGAGAGCTGTGACGCAATGGGAAGTCTGATACCAGGTTGTAAAAGCCCTGAGAAATGCGAACCAGGCTGTGCTTGCCGAGAAGGATTCTACAGGCGGTATAACTTCTTATGCGTTCCCAAATGCTACTGTCCTGCTTTAAAGAATACACCTGAATGTAGAAATTAAGCGATATGTGACGTGGAAGCTTTGTAACAAAATATTTACAAAACTGTTTTCTAAAACATGTGTCTATTTCATGTGTCAATATTAAAATTTGAAAGCTTGTAGCAACTTGAATTTGTATTACTTTAATGTTTGGTCTCGGAAATTCCTTTAACGTGTTGGTCTTATAGCCAAGCAATATAATTAAATTCATTGTTATATTTCTACATTATCTGTCAATTATTAACCTTTAATATGTAATTAAAATACAAACTAGAATCAAGCCCGGTATGTCGTGGGAGATCAAAAGTTTACTGTTTTCTGCACTGGTGGAAAAAGTGGTAGGTACTCTCTAACTTCCAAATATAATCGGTCAGTAATATAGTTCCACTGAAAGTAGTATAAGTATTATCATAATATTATATACATGTATTTTAGAAAGCTGCATAGAAACTGAATTTTGAACTATTAGCGTCAGTTGATTAGTTACTGTTGTCCAGAAAATGTTTGTGACAGCCTTTCGTACGTACTAAAATGTAATTTTAAATAATCAAACTTTTCAAAAAAAAATCTCGTTATGTGTAGTAAACACTTATTATTACTACTTTATGTAAATGAAAATGATGTAAATAGCAATTCAAATAGTCAAACAAATGGACTGATGAAACCAGCAAAAGATATCGTGACGGAGAAGAAAATGGGGATTTTTGAAGACTAGCTGCAATGCCGCTGTGTTATATCACGGTCAATATACGTGGCGCGTGACGTAATAAATGAAATCTGGTTTATTGGAATCCCATGACGATCGTCAAAGTAACTTCATGTACTAATCATCATAGTGTAACGTAACTACTGACGCATCTGCACTTTGGCATAAGCACCTATAGTGTCATTGTATACACCTATTTTTTTTAATTTTTAAAGTATATGTATGGTATAGAAATTAGAATATACGTACGATTTGTAGCGTTCCGCGCGGTCTCAAAAAGCGACGATCTATTTTCGAACACAGATGAGGTCCAGCAGAGCCGATGTTTAGCCAGGGTTGAGGCTTAACCGCAATAAGGTACCACAGTCAGTAAGAGTCTGCCACTCTCTCTTGCTAGGCGAGAGAAGTAATGTGATAATTTAAACTCCTCAAAAAAAGTACCATTGTATTCGGAAGTCTTGTTTCTATCCTGTATCTACTCTCTTTTGAGTCTGGAGTCTTCTTCTGATAACGTCATGTCGGTAAGTCAGGAAATAGTGTCCGGAAGTTGCTGGTGCAGATAGTATAGCATATTTTAAAGATTTTTATTACACTAGAATTGTCACTGCGCCGTGGTCGCGTTTGCAAACATATTTTTTTTTTTGTTTTACATATCAGACAAACACCCGGTTTCCGAAAGGCCGATCAATGTTAAAATCAATTTAATCTCTTGTCAAGTTATCTGATTGGTTGACTGAATTATCAACAACCAATCATATAACTTGACAAGAGATTTAACAGGATATTAGTTAATTTTAGCGTTGACAAGCCTTTCAGAAACCGGCTGTTAGACCCCGAACAATAATTTGTGGATCACACAAAGAGTAGTGCTGTGCGGCTTGTTTGTCCACTGCGTCAACAGGGCAGTTACAGAAGTTATTTCCAAACAAATTACACATAATATAGTAAGTTCGTAAAAGTGTCGAATAAGTTAAAAAAAAGGTAAAGTACAAAACGCCTGCTGAAGTTTACTTTTTGGACTTCTTCCAATTAGATAATTTCCTCAGTACTTATAAAAAAATATTACATCAGAATTTGCTATTTAATAGAAAATTATGTTATTAAGTTAACATGTTTTTAATATATAACTAGCTCTTACCCGCGGCGTCGCTCCCGTCATTTGACTACCTACCCTACTATATCTGCCCTACCTACCCTACTCTACCTACCCTACTCTACCTACCCTACTCCACCTACGCTACTCCACCTACGCTACTCTACCTACCCTACTCTACCTACGCTACTCTTCCTACCCTACTCTACATACCCTACTCTACCCACCCTACTCTACCTACCCTACTCTACCTTAGTAAGTGTGGGAGAGCCATGCTTCGGCACGAATGGGTCGGCTCGACCGGAGTGATACCACGGCCTCACAGAAAACCGGCGTGAAATAACCACTGCGTTGTGTTTCGCCGTGTGAGTGAGGTTACCGGAGGCCTTATCCTTCCCTTCCCCAATCCCTCCTCAATCCCTAAATCTCCAAATCCCTAATCCCTAAAAGGTCGGCAACGCACTCGTAACTCCTCCGTTGCGAGTGTCCATGGGCGGCGCTGATTGCTTACCATCAGGTAATCCGTCTGCTCGTTTGCCGACCTATTACATAAAAAAAAACCTAACCTACACTAGCCTATCCTATGTCCTTCTCCTGGCTCTAAACTACCTCCCTGCCAATTTTCAGCTAAATCGGTGCAGCCGTTCTTAAGTTATAAGTGGAGTAACTAACACGACTTTCTTTTATACATATATATAGATTTTAAGTCACATGGGTAAGAATGGTATGATTCAAATTGCTTGAGTTATATATAAACAGCCATGAGTTCTGATGGCCATTACTCGAGAAGCAGGCAAAATGTCGTACAGTCGTTTATTACTATTCTCTGTCTGTTACTTAGTGGTAGTTCCGGCTCAGGAATTATTTAACGACTTAAATCCATCTTCAAACCCGACCGGTGAGTTTTTGGAACACAATTCTGATTTATCAAACTGATTTTCTTTCTTATTTTCCGATCGCCTATAACGAGCGATATTTTAGACCTGGAAACTTTTAAAAGGTGTAAAAAGTGTAATAAAATTAAAGTAGAAACCCACTGGAAATGGAAGATACACAAAAGGAAATAGAAACTAAAGAATTTTCGATTTCAATTACAATTGTAGACTGCGTGTTATTGAGTAACTAGCCACTCTCACGCGGTTTCACTCGCTGCTCAGCTCATATGATCGTAGCGTGATGTTTTACAGCCTATAGCACTCAAATACATTGTAGCTATCTATCAGTGAAAGAATTCTGGTAATCCGACTAGCGGTTCCAAAGATTACCCCTTACATACAAACTTACAAATTTTATCTCTTTAGAATATTAGTATTGATAAGAACGTAATAATTAACGCATTTTTTATGTGATAAGACGGCAAACTAGCTGGCTGATTATCTGATGGTAAGCAATTAGCGCCGCCCATGGAAACCCGCGAGAATGAAAGAGTTACATGTGCGTTGCCGACCTTTAAGGGATTAGGATTTTGGGGATTTTGGTATTGGGGGAGTGGAAGGATTGGGCCTCCGGCAACCTCACTCACACGGCGAAACACAACGCTGTGGTTCTTTCACGCTGGCTTTCTCTGCCGACCCATTCGTGCCGAAGCATGGCTCTCCCACACTTATAATAATTTACCTGCATATGTAACAATTTTTTTTTTATTTATATACTTAATTTTGTTTCGTTTAAGCTTGTGGCAAAAATGAGTATTTCGAAAAATGCACATATGAGTGCCCTCCAGAGAAGACTTGTGAAACTCGTTTAATCGACGTGTATTGTCCTGATGTTGAAATGCCCTGTGTTCCGGCATGTGTATGTAAAGCGAGTTACTATAGAAAGGGCCCAGGTGGCGAGTGTATACCAGAAGAAGAATGTGGTATTATTAAATATTGAACTGTAAAAAAAAATACGAAATAATCCACCGTAAAGTAAAAACACGGTGACAAAAGGTCTTTTTATGTTTCAGTTACAAATTCTTACTAATTGCATCATTGGAATTGAAATGGTTATCTCCGATAAATGTGTAGAAATTTCTGTTTATTTAGTTAAATTAAAATTATATTCATTATTCTGAATTGTATGAGATGTCCAAATAATAATTGCTTAAAAAGTTTCAATAAAATAAGACAAGTTACTTATTTCAAATTTAAGCTTGGGCGTTTCACAGGGTTCCATTTTAGGCCCACCGTCATTTTATATTTACATTAGTGGTGACTTATTCTTTATGCTATTGATCAAAGAAAATGTTTGTTCATTAAAAACCACCAATATCACATAAAGGTCCCTGAACCCTGAAAACCAGGACGTGCTTGCAAAAGGGGTTCTGTAAACGATTTACCTTTATTACACAACAAGGTTGTATCTTTAGCCTAGGTCTAAACCATTAAGTCAGTTTTTGTATTTCAAATTGAAGGAATGTAAATAAGATAATCAATCAAAATAGAAAACCTGACCCAATGGTTTACAACTAAACTAAAGATAAATCTTGTTTTGTACAAACCCCTTATTATGTCCATGTTTAATTTAGATCTAATATAATTTACTATCGTCTTCGGAACCTTTTTGTAGACTCTGCAAATTAATAATATTAAAATGTCAATCTTCATATAATATGGTTTGTTTTATTACCCTCATGCGTCTATTTATCTTCTATTTTTATTCCTTTTAAATACCAGAATGTTTAGTTTTATATTAATAGTGAACCTGCTTTCAAAATTTAACCTGAAGTTAACAGTATTATCTATTTATTTTCTGATTTTAAGTAATAGCATGGTATTTTGAATGTTGCGTGATATTATACTATCGGAATGGACAAATAATGTGAAGCTGAATATAATTCGTTAAAAAAATCTGTACTTACACTATATATTGTGAGCTTTTATTTATTTTATCACTTTTAGTACGTACGTACGTAATGTAAGCAAAAAGTTGGCGTTAAGTTCCAAAACAGGTTATATTGTATTCGGAAGTCTTGAAACAAAACAAACACAAGCTCAACACGTCAATACACGAAGAGCCGGCAACATGAAGAGGTGTGTAGTATTGCTGTCTGTTATGTGGGGCTAGCTACGGAACTTGGATTACACGATGTCAGCTTTTGTTTATCAGCTCATAGGGGTAAGTTTTTGTTAAATATCTACAAGTTTGGAGACTTTTCCTATTAGTACAAAATATTTTTTCATTAACACTGAGTTCCCTTTTCCAGGTTGTGGACCAAATGAAACCCTCAATGATTGTGTATTTGAATGCCCCCCAGAAAAGACCTGTGACACTCGTAAAATATATTTATTATGTCTGACTGGGGATAACTCTTGTGAACCAAAGTGTGTATGTAAAGAGGGTTACTTCAGGAAGACTGAGGACGGGGAGTGTATATCAGATGAAGACTGTGGTTTGTGATCTGTGTCTATAAATATTACTCAAGTTGGTCTTTCGTACTGGTACAAAAAAAAATATTATGATATAATAGTATAGATGAAGACCTTGACCTTGAACTTTTCGTCAAGAAGTGCAGATAAGCGCACAAGAGTGATTGCTTAGTGACTGTTTGCTTATTTCTAGGACCGGCTTGTGAGGAAAATGAGGAGTACACGGATTGCAAAAATCCTTGTGTGGACGAAAGCTGCGCTGCAATGGGAAGTCTGAAACCAAATTGTACTGACCCTTGCGAGCCAGGATGTGCTTGCAATGAAGGGTTCTTCAGGCTTTACCCCTACTGGCCCTGTTTCTCCAGATGCTCTTGTCATACGTTGCGGAACACACCCGAGTGTAGAATTTATTCAAATTAAATCCAGTATTACAAAGTAAAATCTTCATTAAGGTGATTTTTGTTTATTAATACTGTTAATATACAAAACAATATGTTAATATACAAAATGATTTTGTATCAGTGTAGCAGTCTTCTTTTTGAGCATCCAACTTCCCAACTGACTATATCTACATATACTGCATAGTAATACTCCATAGTAATGTTGATTGAACTGATATCTATTTATAAATAGATATCAGTACCAACTTGACTCTAACTATTACAGAACGTTTGAATAGGCTTTAGCAGCTGGTGTGCGAGTGCAATAATTTACCGCGGTTCTGGGTAGGAGAATGATCAAAGTGATTTAAGTCAGTATGTGTCTGAGACTCACTGTCGCCTTGTCGAGGCAAGGTTTGGAGGTTTGAAATTGAAGTGACATTTGAGGACATAAAATTACATTTGAAAAAAAAAACATAAAGAGTCGCCATTTTTGTCCCTTCCTTCTTTTAAACTCAATTGAAGCAGAATTTTTTACGTACCTTTTTAAGTAGCATTTGAAGATTTTTGGCAAATTTTTCTTATGTGGTGACGTCAATAACTACTTAAATCACATTGATATCCACTAGAGCTGGTTCTATATAAACAGACACAAGCCTTGCACGTCACTACACGAGGAGCCGGCGACATGTGGAGGTGTGCAGTACTGCTGTCTGTGTGTTGTGTGGGGCTAGCTGTCGGGGAGGAACTACTCGACGACTTTAGTCCTTTTGAAGACCATATGGGTGAGTTTAAATACAACACATATACATTATGATATCCAGTCTGCAACTTGGCTATAGCATACATCTGTAATTTCTTCAAATTAAAGTCTTGTATTCATGTTTCGGGTATTGTAAGAACCGACACCTAAAACACTACACATTTGGTGGAAACAAAGAAGGTCTCTAATGAACCAGATTTTTTAAATTGTGGTCTTCAACCTGCCAAGCAACGAGATTATAGTAGAGGCCCAAAGTCTTAAAATGGAGTCAAAAAGGCTGTTGATGATGATTTATGTCAATATTTTTTGCAGATTGTGGCCCAAATGAAACCTTTAACCCATGTTCACGGGATTGTGCTCCTGAACGAACTTGCGACACTCGTAAGATACATCCAATTTGTCTCCGATTTGTGATGCCCTGTGTCCCTAAATGTTTATGCAAAGAGGGGTACTATAGAAAGACTGACGGTGGTGAATGTATACCAGAGGAAATGTGTGGTAAGTCCAGTCAGATCACCAATTTAAAGTTAGCAATTATTGGAGAATATAGTTTACCTTGAACTTAACGTTATTAAAGTCTACACATACGGATAAACAGGCAGGGGGTGACTGGCAAACTCAATTAATGGGCCCCGGAAACGGCCGCTAGCATGTAGCGACACGGCTGCGAGCTGATTAGGGAAGGAGAGGCATCCCACGGCTATCAGAGCAATCCCGGAAGTACGGTCAAGACCCCTACCAGCACCTTACTGAGATACATCCTTCCCTCGAATAATTATTACATTTTTTTTCTCTTACTGTCTAAAAACACCCCTGTTCCTTCTCCTGCTCTGGGCCGAGGTCGCGGTGCCTCATTGCGCTTACCCCGCAACCCCGGCTGAACATCAGCCCTATAGGGCCCCGTCTGTGGTCGTCTATTGGCTCTTCGAGGCGCGCGCGGAACGCTACGCGCCGTACGATCGGGCCTGGTCCTGGTCGGGCGGTGGGCTGCCCTTACTCGCCGACCGCAGACCCGCGCTTACGGTGGCCGGAGATCGTCCCTTGATCCCCGACGCCCGTAGTGTCGCCTGTTGCGGCGGCTGAGGCGTGAGGAGGAGGATTGCTCCCTCACGTGGGCTGCCTCCCTTTTTGCGAGCATAACTGCTTCACAGAAGGAGGAGACGGCGTCCCAGTTCCTCTGGCTCCGCACCATGGCCTCATTACCAACTATTACATAATTATTACGTATGCAATAAATCTTAATTGAGCCACATGGATTTTGCGTTTTTCATGTTTCAAGGGCACTGTAGGTTACCCCCATTTACGGGCACTGCTCATTGTAGAAATGTGTATTAATTTTAGGACCGGCTTGTGGTGAATACGAGGTGTACACACAGTGCATGAACCCCTGTGTGAACGACAGCTGCGCTTCAATGGGGAGTCTGAAACCGAACTGTACCCGGCCTGAAACTTGTGAACCGGGTTGTGTGTGTGCAGAAGGAGCTTATAGACTCTACGAATACTGGCCTTGTGTTCCTAAATGTTATTGTCACGGCATGGAAGATTTGCCCGAATGTAGAGCATAGATATAATATGTAATTTCATATGTGTGTATTCTTTGATTGAGTCATTTCTTATTTCACTTTTATTCTGTAAATATAAATGTACTTTGGAGAACTTTGTTATTTATTGTATAATGTTAACATTTCTGCTCCTATTTGTATGCATGTGTGTAGAGCGTTCACATTCTTATACAACTTAATAAACACGATGGTACATACTTAATTTTTTTTATTAAATACGAATAATCGTGTTCATCATATCATCTAATCAAACAAATATAAAATGTGGTTAAATGTGTTTTGTTTTTTAATACGTTTTGTCGGGAGATTACCTGTCACTAGTTTATAAAGTAACAAGCTACCAGTAGCTTTACTTTTGAAGCGGCGTATTTATAACATAGTTCTGTTGTACAAACTCAGAACTCAACTCAAGTGTTTGTTCAATGTTTTTTTTGTGAGTACCAATCATAATACATAAATATTTTCTTATCGAAAACAGTATTTCTTAGGAATTTACCTGTAACTAGTTTTCAGAACCTCATGGACACTGTATGGATTGTTATACATTTTTAAGTTCTATAAAATAGGTAAAAAGCTTTTGTCAACACTCTCACTTCAGATTATTTATCCAGTCTCGCCGTATTCTATTATTTATTATCCTTTTCAAAGACCAAACTACACCAAACTTTGCACACAGGTATAAACGGCAAAGAATCCTATCCCAAACAATTTTCTTTTTTATGAATTATGATGATGCAATAATAAATCACGTTGATATCCACTAGAGCTGGTTATACATATATAAACAGACGCAAGCCCCGCACGTCACTACACGAGGAGCCGGCAACATGTGGAGGTGTGCAGTACTGCTATCTGTGTGTTTTGCGGGGCTAGCTGCCGGGGAGGAACTAATCGACGACTTTGACCCTTTTGCGGTCCATATGGGTAAGATTCATTATTAATAATTACACGTGAATGTAACAAGTAACAGTAATTCAGAGTTCAAATGCAAAAATGTCGCAACGGGCTTATTTAGTAGTTCAAGAGATATGTTTTTCCTTCAATACATAGGTAAAACCTTTTTTTGTGAGGGGAAAATCATAAAATGTCTTCTCCCACCCAGGGTAGGGCGGGAGAGAGAGTCAGACTCTTACTGACTAAAAACACCCCCGTTCCTTCTCCTGCTCTGGACCAAGGTCGCGGTGCCTCATTGCGCTTACCCTGCAACCCCGGCTGAACATCAACCCTATAGGGCCCCGTCTGTGGTGGTCTATTGGCTCTTTGAGGCACATAGGTAAAGCCTGGCTATATAATACACCTGTTATTACTCTCAAGATTAAAAATGTTTGTGTTTACTTTTTTCCAGATTGTGGACCAAACGAAGATTTTCACCCATGCTCTCAAGATTGCGCACCTGAACAGACTTGCGACACTCGGAAAATATTCATAGCTTGTACAGCAGAGTTAAGGCCATGTATTACAATATGTAAATGCAAATATGGCTACTACAGGAAGACTGAGGGCGGTGAATGTATACCAGAAGATCAATGTGGTAAGTCGTATCAAAAGCGTACCTAACCTGTTTTTAGTTTTTAGGATATCTTCTAGAATACTTGTGTCTTTTAAAATCTCCTTATAGCCTGGCTCTGCATGATTCTGCACCTTCTTGATTGAACATGTTTGAATACTCTGGGTAACCCCCCTTGAAAGGGGGCATCATCTTTATGATTATCTCGTGAGAGCTCACTACTGGATCATTGGCTACTTCTACAAAGAAGAAGATTACCCTAATCTGAACGCTTGGCAGATAACAATTTTGGATAAGCTCATCTGCAAACACCGCTGTCCGGCCACGATTAAGTAATATATACCCGCAGAAAGAGTAAAGATTGTAATAAAATGTATTTTACTCTGCCTACATCACTTTAATCAATCAATCAATCAATCATTTATTATTTGTAAAACATAGGTAACAAAAATACAGATCTTAAAGGTAAATTACAGTGCGCTATGTTTTGTCTATGCTAAGACATACAAATATATTTTGCAGTTTAAGTTAAGATACTTTTGTGGCTTACAATAAGAAATAAACATGTTACAATTTAACAAAATGTCATAATTAAAAAATGTCACAATTAAAAAACTAATAAAGTTAGTAAATACTGAAGATAATAAAAATAACATTAATTACAAAATTGTATTCTCCATTTTTTAGGACCGGCTTGTGGTGAGTACGAGGTGTACACAGAGTGCATGAACCCCTGCGTGAACGACAGCTGCGCTGCAATGGGGAGTCTGAAACCGAACTGTACCCGGCCTGAAACTTGTGAACCGAGTTGTGTGTGTGCAGAAGGAGCTTATAGACTCTACGAATACTGGCCTTGTGTTCCTAAATGTTATTGTCACGGCATGGAAGATTTGCCCGAATGTAGAGGATAGAGTTTTAACATTGTGTACAACTTTTTATTTTATAAATTGAATTTCAAATAATTGTATCGATATTTAAAATTGTGTTGTTTTATGAATAAAAAACGATTAAATGTGGTTAAATGTGTTTGAGATGCCAAGCCGAATTTTAGTTAAAAACTAAAGAAAAGAAAACAACTGTACAACCTAAAACTCAAAAAATTCACTCACCCAACAAATTCGACATCAAAGCAACTTTTAAAAGTTGTCGAAAAAATTACGTCATGCGGAATGTTTGTCGAGTTTGACACCGTCTCTAAAACCAGGAATTGTCAGCGGAAGGAGTTTTAGAACTTGATTATTAGAGTTGTTAGTTAAGTTGAAATTTTGTAGAAAAAAGAAAGTGTGGGAGAGCCATGCTTTGGCACGAATGGGTAGGCTCGACCGGAGTGATACCACGGCCTCACAGAAAACCGGCGTGAAATAACCACTGCGTTGTGTTTCGCCGTGTGAGTGAGGTTACCGGAGGCCCAATCCTTCCCCTTCCCCAATCCCTCCTCAATCCCTAAATCTCCAAATCCCTAATCCCTTAAAGGTCGGCAACGCACTCGTAACTCCTCCTTTGCGAGTGTCCATGGGCGGCGCTGATTGCTTACCATCAGGTAATCCGTCTGCTCGTTTGCCGACCTATTACATAAAAAAAAAAACAAGTATCAGAAGGATACCTCTTAGTCAAAATAGGCGCCACCCATGGACATCAGCAAAACCAGAGGATTTGTTGAACATGATTATCACACTTGTTCGAAATTTTGTAGACAATGTCACAATGGTATCACGCAGATCTAAGGATTGGAATAGCATGTCTGCAACCGTCTTCCCGTTCAGTTATGATTTAGGTGTCTTCAAGGCTAGAGTGAACAGGCTCGCTCTAAATAAATTAGTGCACCTTACTACTATCCATGATTGTATCACTGCTTACCATCACGTGGGATTGTAGTCAAGTAACAGTTTATACTAATAAAAAACTCTCACTACCAATGACATTTTCAAATAGGATTTAAGTACATATGTATATAGGTACAAATACACATGATTTTTCACGTGTTTGGTAGCCCCGGGAGATTACCTCTTACCGGTTTTCTAAGTAGACATCAATCGCCGTGTTGACGGTTCTATGTTTACTTTTTGCTATACTTATGGTTTTTTCATAGTGCGCTGCTGATGTTGATGTTTTTTTAGCTTTTCAAGTACTAATTACAAGTTGTTTATATAATTTTTTGTAGGAATTGTGAACGATTTTGACGTTCCGACATATTTTAAACCGGGCGCTTATTATGATGAACTTATTAGTATTTGATTTGGGGACAGCCAAGTATCAAGTCATATTCTTCTTAAAAAGTGAAATTAGTAACCTTGGTTCGTTTGAAAAAATTCTTAACATTTTTTTTCGTTTATATAGGTGAAGATCTCAACTGAAATCCAGTTGTAATGTTGTAAGAATATACTATAAAATATTGATATTAGCAGGTTATATGTATACGTCGCAGTAAGATTATCTTTATCAATTTGTAATGACGTAATTATGTGTGTATAAATCACGTTGTGGGGCACTCTGCTTGTTCAGGTTATATATATAAACAGACACAAGCCCCGCACGTCATTACGCGAGGAGCCGGCAACATGTGGAGGTGTGCAGTACTGCTGTCTGTGTGTTATGTGGGGCTAGCTGCCCGACAAGGATTACTTGGCGCCTTTAACCCTTTTGAATTCCATATGGGTAAGGTTTCTATATATTTTTTATGTTATTTCTTTTTTCAAACGTTTTGGCGTGAAAAAATAAACATCCATTCTATTAATTTAAATTTAAAACGCAATATGTTAACCTTAGATTGAAAATCTCGAGAATTCATGCTTGTAATTTTAATACCCAACGTGTCAGTTCGGTTTTGAAAACAGAATAGACTGTTCCATTTTCAAAAAAATAAGGCAAAACGTGAATCAAAAAAGTACGCAGTGTTTTCTGCCTTTTAAAAAGTTACAAACTTTTAACCTATCGAAGGTTTTGTTAAGGCACGGAAGAAGAAGGATAAAACTTGATATTTACTTTTCCTATTACAGATTGTGGACCAAACGAAGAGTTTAATCAGTGTTCACACAGTTGTCCACCAGAACAGACTTGTGATACTCGTAAAATACATACACTTTGTCTAGCTGTAGTAACACCCTGTATTTCGAAGTGTGTATGTAAACAAGGGTACTACAGGAAGACTGAGGGCGGGGAGTGCATACCAGAAGAAGAATGTGGTAAGTCTTCTGTTTACAAAAACATTGTAAGGCTTTTCCAATGTTAATATTAAAATATACGTAGATAGACTCTTCCGTATTGTAATTGACGGCTGGGCAACTGGCTGCTGCGCAACGTGTCGCGGGTTCGATTCCCGCTAGGAACAAATCTTTGTGTGATCTACAGATTGTTGTTTCGGGTCTGGGTGTGATGTGCATGTGAAATTGTATGTTTGTAAACGCACTTACAACACAGGAGAAAATCCTAAAGCGGGGCAACACATTTTGCGAAAAAAAATGAATATGAACGAAGTTCTAATTTATTGATATCGTAAAAAATATGTTTCATTTTTAAAATACGGAGATTCAAATACTTGCTTCACTTAACGTAATCACAGTTTTCTATATCTTATGTTTGTCAGGAAATAGAGTTGTTGTTTTTTTGCACGCACGCTGCTTATGAATAAAAACTGCTGAAAATACTAGATCTTTTTTATCTTCTTTTCTAATTGAGAATGTCTGATTATACAGTATTTACTATTTATATACGAAAAGAGTAGTCGTTTGTCTTAACAAATGTTTGACGTAAGTGATTTAACTTCCAGGTCCAGCTTGTCGCGAAGGTGAAGAGTACACGGAGTGCGTCAACCCTTGTGTGGATGACAGTTGCGCTGCAATGGGGAGTCTGAAACCGAACTGTACCAGCCCTGAGCCTTGTGTTCCGGGCTGTGTTTGCAAGAAGGATTATTTTAAGAAAAATGAATACTACCCATGTTGGCCTAAATGTTATTGTGAAGAACTACGAGATTCTCCCGATTGTCGATAGGGTTAAGAGGAAGCTACATAAGTTTATTAAGTCAAAATATTGTTTTGAACAAAGGTGTTCGTGGTTCTCCAATACCTTCCTACCAGCGACTTTCCACGTTTTTTATCTGTGGACAGACTTATGTTGCTTTTAATCGGCCTGTATGGAAGACATTGGAAGACTTATTTTCGGCTGAGGACATCTTGTGGCCGCTAAATTACCTATCAGGTCTCATGTCCTATATATAGATATCATGTAGTTGCCAGTGACTTTCGATAAATTCTTCCATTCTGTTTTATACAGAAGTAGGTATTGCTTATCTGTGATTCTTCTGTTACAACAGCTTTTCTCATCAAAGTAGTAACTCAGACAATCTATTTAGCATTAAATTTCAAAGTCGAAATCAATGAGGAAATAAAATTAGGACCTTGTAGCTATGACCCATAAGTAAGTTATTTGTTTAATCAAATATTTTTATTGACTTATATTTTCCTACTGATATTTTAGTTTAATATTCATTTTTGATGTGATTTAAAAATAATAAAAATCCCATAGGAATAGCAGTGTTTTTTTATTATAAGGTGTGTCCACTCACGATATTCAATTAGCATAATATTGTTGGTACATATAACATTTTCAAAGTCAAAGTCAAAGTCAAAGTCAAAATCATTTATTCCAACTAAACCATAAATAGGTACTTTTGAAACGTCAAAATAGAAAAGTAGTCTGTCAGTCTGTTCGTCAGTGAAGCTAGGTGCTCATTCCAAATTGTAGATTCGAATGGAGAAGAACGAGCAAGAAACTCCATTCGTTATTCTTTTTTTTTTTTAAATTGTTTTACAATTTCAGTAATATAACATTTATAGTATACATTAGTGTACCCTTATGTGAGAACAATGCAGAGACAAGTTGTTAAAAAAAAAGAACAAATGAGGGGACCTATCATAAAATTTTACTCCTTTGTCGTCTCTAACATGGCGCTCACATATGCGTACTCACAATCTTTAAGAGTGCTTCTATACTTGTATAAACTTTTTGGATAAATAAATTAAGGATGCATTATTTTTGAGAATTTTACCTAACTGCTGACTATATTTGAGAAGAACACGCTGCCAGACATTCTTATCCTCAATATAATCTGAAAGTTTGTAGTATGCCTGTCTACACAATTCGCGTTTAATATAAGTTTTAAATTTTCGTTCGTTAAGATTCAATACAGTACTTGGAATTTTATTGTAACAATTTACACAGAACCCCATAAAGGATTTCTGTACTTTGGACAGACGGAATCGTGGCACAGCCAGCCTATCTTTGCCTCTTGTATTAAAATTATGTCTATCGCTTCTTTTTTCAAATAATTGCAAATTTTTCCTTACATACATAATATTTTCATATATAAACTGACAAGGCACCGTCAGGATATTTATCGTTTTAAATAGTTCTCTCAGAGATTCGCGACGGGGCAAGTTATATATCGCTCGGATAGCCCGCTTTTGTAGAATAAATATTGATTCTACTTCCGCAGCTCGACCCCACAGCAAAATTCCGTACGACATAATGCTGTGAAAATAGCTAAAATAGACAAGCCTTGCTGTGTTCACGTCTGTGAGCTGTCTTATCTGTCTAACTGCAAAAACAGCAGAGCTTAGTCTCCCCGAAAGCGTCTTTATGTGGGAACCCCATTGAAGTCTATTGTCTAGTGTGATACCTAGAAACACTGTCTCGTTGACAAATTCTAACTTTTGCCCATTTAAAATTATGCTACAATCATTACTGTGTACGTTGGGCAAGCTAAATTTAATACATTTTGTTTTTTTCTCGTTAAGTGCTAAATTATTGACTGTAAACCAATTATGAACTTGATGAACGGAGCTGTTTACTTCGTCAAAATTATTAGAACGTCGACCTATTTTAAAAATTAATGATGTATCATCAGCAAACAGCACCATACTTGGCTCAGCTTTAAATAAAAATGGCAAGTCATTAACATACACTAAAAAGAGAAACGCCCATTCTTATCTCAGAGCCCTGTGAGTTATAACTACCTACATGAACTCTCAGCTGCCTATCCTCTAAATATGATTTTAGTAGACGGAGTGCAGTATGTCTAATCCCGTAATGATCTAATTTCAGCAAGAGTGTTTCATGATCAACGCAATCGAACGCTTTGGAGAGGTCGCAAAAGACACCAACAGCATCCTGTGCTTCCTCCCAAGCACCGAGTACTTCCTTTATCAACGTGACACCGGCGTCAGTTGTACAACGACCTTTAGTGAAACCGTATTGTTGGTGATGGAAGATGGCATGTTTATCAAAGTGATGAAGCATCCGAGATAGCATTAACTTTTCGAACACTTTGCCGGCAGAACAGAGACAGGCCTATAGTTGTTTGGTTCCTTAGTGTCACCATTTTTGAATAATGGAATAACTTTACTGTATTCCTCAGTTGATTTGACCTTGATTTTTTTTAAAAACCTTTATTACCTCTAAAGGATTAGTATAATGAAAACTAAAGTTGCATTCGCATGATTTGACATTTTCTCTAAGCAAAGTTGCCGATAGTCTGGCCGATGATTTTAAATGAGCCGTTGTTTTGACTGGTATATTAGCAAAAAACTCTCAAACTCCTGAGCTACATCTGTGCTTGATGAAATCTGTCCCCTCTCTGTGTTTAAACAAAATGCCGAATGTTTTCATTTATTCCTACCTGTCTCATTCTGTATTATTTTTTTTATGAATTTCAGGTCATAGACATTGGTGGGACTAGGCAACATCGGTATTTGTTCCATATAATCCTAGTATTTAAAAATACCTGATCCATCTACCCAATACTAATATTTATTCAATACTTAATTTCACCTGTATTATTTCATGCGATACTTAATCCTCCAAGCTTTGGAGGTGTAGGCACGGAACGAGAAGAACCTATCAACAATATCATAATGTGGAATGGGTAGGAAATGTTCAGTATAGGGTATGGCTGTTCTATTTATGATACTTATATCCTGGAACGAAGGGATCTGGGTGGATGGATTATTGGTTTATTTAGTTTTTTTATGAGCAAAGGTACTTAAAATATAATCAAACATTTAATAATTTAATGCCACAATTTTAAGGTACTCAATATCTTTTGGGTTAACTTTGTAGTAAGTGCAAATATGTTTGTTGTTTGCCTATTCCTCGACGCTTTGGATTAGGTAGGTGTTCGCATTCGAAAAATACCTTATCCACATACCTAATCAAATATTTATGCCTTACTTATTTATTTGCACTTCTAAATGTGACTGGGTGGCAAACGAGCAGACGGAGTACCTACCTGATGGTAAGCAAACAGCCATGGACACCCGCAACAACTGAGGAGTTAAGAGTGCGTTGCCAACCTTATGGGGATATGGATTTTGGAAATTTATAGTTTTGGGAGAGGGGGAGAATTGGGCTTTCGATAACCTCACTCACACGATGAAACACAATACTGTGGTTGTTTCACGCCGGTTTTCTGTCAGGCTGTGGTATCACTTCGGTCGAGCCGACCCATTCATGCCGAAGCACGGCTCTTCCACACTTACACTACTTTTTGTATTACATTTGCTGTCAAATAGACAAGTGAACAGATTTTCCTTATCAATTGTATTGTAGGTGTATGTATGTATTACGTAGTTATATGTGTATAAATCAAGTTACGGGGCATTCCACTAGTGCTGGTTATATATAAACAGACACAAGCCCCGCACGTCACTACACGAGGAGCCGGCAACATGTGGAGGTGTGCAGTACTGCTATCTGTCTGTTGTGTGGGGCTAGCGGCCGGGGAGGAACTACTCGACGACTTTAGCCCTTTTGCGGTCCATATGGGTAAGATTCATTATCATTACACATTATAAATGTTTTTTATATTATTTGTCTATATCTTTTAGTGTGTTTTACTTAAAACCATTTTATTTATGACATTAATTTCTTTTTTGTTCTAATAAATTGACTGATTATTTGAAATATTTTTTTTTGGTCAAAGTATTGTTGTTTTTTAATGTCGTGAATCTCTGTTTATGGCTGGTTAACAGATAACTAACAAAATTGGACTATCATTGTATCAAGTTTAATTGTTAGTGCGATTAAAAATACTGCCACATATTACTTAGAAAATGCCACCAACCAATGCCCCTAAAAAACCCCTAAAACCTAACTCTACCCCCATCCCTCCCAATCTTTAAGGCCCCAAAACCAGCAATGTTCTCTTGCAACTTGTAACTCCTCTGATGTTGCTGTTGTCCGTGGACGGTGACGATTGCTAACAATTATTGCATTAAAGAATTAGGTTCTCATATAATTAAACTGACCTTTTTTACAGATTGTGGACCAAACGAAGAGTTTCATCAATGTAAACATAGTTGCCCACCAGAACAGACTTGTGAAACACGCAAAATACACATACTTTGTGCAGCTGTTTGGACACCCTGTATAAGAAAATGTGTATGTAAACAAGGGTACTACAGGAAGACGGAGGGCGGGGAGTGTATACCAGAAGAAGAATGTGGTAAGTAAGGCATTACTTTTTCAACGTTATGATCAGAATACACATAGAGAAACCTTTTCAGCGCCGCGAACCCGTCTCGTACGGGGTCGCTGCATTATGCTGAGCGTGGGCCATTTCGCGTGCCTGGACGCATATTTTTCTCCTACCGTCTACTTTTGTGATATTGTTTTTACCTTGCTCAATGTATTTTTATTTTAACTTTATTTTATTATCTTGTTCGTTTTGTGTCTTTTATGCGTCCCAGACGCGAATAAATACTTTTTCTTTCTTTCTTCTTTCTTTCTTTTCGTATTTCTACGACCACGAGTGAAGTTTTATTTCATAAATACATAATTATTATGTTGTATCGTTTTAAGAAGAAAATTATCCACACTTGTCTTAATATATATATAAGTGTTAAAAAAATGGAGTTTTGAAGAAGATCGAAAGAAGGTCTGTTTTAATGCTTACTTTATCCGTCCCAATTCTACAAAAATCAATGTTTGTTATTGATATCCAGGACCAGCTTGTGGTGAAGGAGAGGAGTACACGGAGTGCGTCAACCCTTGCGTGGATGACACCTGCGCTGCAATGGGGAGTCTGAAACCGAACTGTACCAGCCCTGAGCCTTGTGTCCCGGGCTGTGTTTGCAAGAAAGACCATTTTAAGCAAAATAAATACTACCCGTGTTGGCCCAAGTGCTATTGTGAAGAACTACGGGATTCTCCCGATTGTAGACCGGTTTATGACGATGCTTTATAAGTTGGAGATTAATTTATTTGTTACTAGCTACTCTTGCGCGATTTCATCCGCTGCTTAGCTCCATTTAATCGTAGCGTGATGTTTTATGTTCTATAGCACTCTGGAACTTTGTAACTATCTATCAGTGAAAGAATTTTGGCAATTCGACTAGCGGTTCCAAAGTTTAGCAACCCCTACATACAAACATACAAACTAACAAATTTCACCTCTTTATAATATTAGTATAGATATAGTATAGATATTGGTGTAACATCTCAGCTTAACTTACTATCTACTGATGGACCTCTGTGATCCACGGCTAAAATTTGCTTAAAGGAACTAACTTGATAATTTAACAAAGATAATGTATGTGAAAGTGATATTAAAAAAGTAACCATCGAGTTTCTTGCTTGTTCTTCCATTCCATTGGAATCAATCTTCACTTTGGAACGAGCAAATAGCTTCTCTAAGAGGACTGACCATCTTACTCGTAAAACTTCGTTTGACGTTAAAAAGTGTTTGTAAGGGACTAATTAAAATAAATGATTTTGACTTTGACTTTGAAGATTTCTTTTCGATGGAGATCTTGTTGCCAGCTAACCTAGCCTACCTATCTGGTCAGTAGATAAAGTTGGGAAAGATGATGTTTCCAGTAACTCTTAGTAAATTCCTCCAATCTGCATTAGTATCAATTATTCTGTAACATGAACTTTGTTTTATTTAATTTATACACGAAATTTTTAATTTTGATATCAATATAAATAAGGGAGTATAATTTTTGTTTTATTTTGTTTTAAATAGCAAACGTAGACAGCCTATGTGGGAGAGCCATGCTTTGGCATGATTGCCAGATCCCTATCTTACCCACAAAAGCCGGAAAATTTACATAATGCACAAAATGCACGTGACACCTTTAGTGCTGCGGCTTACATTGGTCATTCGTCTGTTCGTTAGTGAATACAGGCCTCCTAAAAACCTCCTTGATTAATATACACACCAAATAAAAAAAATATTACATGCAAAATAATATATACGTTTATTGATTACAGGTTTCATTATACGAAAACAGTTATTCGATTATGACAAACAAAACGGCGCCACTGTCGCTTAAGGGCTTTCTTCCTTATATTTAGCTTCATTAAATTCCAATTTCATCTCAAAAAACTTGGTTAGCTTTTGTTCCTCAATTTGAAGCTTTTGTTTCTTTATCTATGCATTCAGGGGCATTGACCAGCTCTGGGCATTGACACAAGGGTACACAGGATGTGTTCATTTCTTTGCGAAGGTATCCAGGTTTACAAGCGCACCCTTTTTCGCAATCTTGTTTGCCGTAACAGTCGTAATAGGCGACAATTGAAAAGCAGATTTCTGGTGGACATGTTTGCTTGCAGTCTGAGTATTCTTCATTTTCACCTGGACAAGTTGGCGTTGATTCTGGAAAGATGTTTGGTTTTTTAGTTTGGTTATTTTTTGAGTGGAATGTGTGATGACGTTTTTATAGGGTAGAAAGAGATGTGTCATATATGTGTGCTGTGTGACTGGCTGCCGATTCTCTTATGTTATAGGTCGGCAAACGAGCAGACGGAATACCTGATGGTAAGCAATCAGCGCCGCCCATGGACAATCGCAAAGGAGAAGTTACGAGTGCGTTGCCGACTTAAGTTTTAGGGATTGAGGAGGGTTTGGGGGGAGGGGAAGGATTGGGCATAGGGATTGTGAATTGCTAAATCAAGGAGATTATATGTAGTGTAGACGAAAAATGCACCGCTGGCGCGGCCTTGAACAGTAGAAGGATTTAGGTGGTTTTTAGTCAGTAAGTGTCTGACACTTTCTGTTGCTGACGCAAAAAGAGGGGTGTTATAAGTTTGACGAGTCTGTCTGTCTGTCTGTCTGTGGCACCATAGCTCCTGAACGAATAAATCGATTTCAATTTAGTTTTTTCGTATTACAGGTGTTTTACGGGCGAGTGTTCTTAGACATGTTTGATGAAATTCGATTGAGCCTTTTAAAAGTTATGAGGGGTTAAAGTGTGGAAGAAAAACCGAATGTCTGCAAATATGCTCAAGTGCGATATCAAATGAAAGGTATGACTTGTACGTCACAAAAAACTAAAACTTTAATAAGTTTCACGTGTCTGTTTGTGTGTCTGTGGCATCGTAGCTCCTGAACGGATGAAACGATTTCATTACGTTTTTTTTTTGGAAATATATATTATACTTTTTAAAGGTAGCTTATGTTTTTGGTGTCGGGGGTTATTTTAAATTTTTAATTTGTTGATTTTATCTTAATATCTTTATATTATGAGTTTTTTAGTGGCATTCAAACTGGGTCTAAATAGAATTGTGTGATGTGTATGTACGTTAAAACTAGTGTTTTCGTAGGCTATCTACACAAGAAGAAATCCAATGTTCTAAAGTAATAATTTCTATTTCAGATCGTGCTTCTGAAATTTAGCGTGGTTTTACAATAGGTGTATGTAAATTCAAGTTGTTGTTCCTATATATTATTCTGATTGTATAAATGAGCCGGTTGAATTTTATTAATGGCATCATAAAGTAAGAGAGATTAATATTAACATAATGTCGGTTCTATATTATATTTAAATATTCTACTTAAAGGGATGATAAGACAAAAAATTAATGCATTCAGTGTTTAAGTATTTATTTATTACATAATTTTAATTTATTTTAAAAATACAAATAAATATAGAATTGTAAGTAGTTGAATAAAATACTGGCAGTGGCATTTGTAATTTTTCGTCCAGTTCCTAATTGCTCTTACAATCAGGTGAATATTTCATCTCAGGACATTGACAGATTGGTATACACGGAGAATCTAAGGATTTCCTCTAAAACCCTGGCTTGCAGACGCATCCATTTTGACAAGACTCGTTAGCATCACAGCTGAACTTGGCCACTAGAGAGAAACATATATCTGGTGGGCAGGACTTTTTACAAGTTGTAAATACTTCGTTGGGCCCTGCGCACTTCGGTTCTGAAAAGGTCAAAGATATTTTATTAGGCTACAAATCTATACTAATATTATAAAGAGGTAAAATTTGTAAGTTTGTATGTAGGGGGTAATCTTTGGAACCGCTGGTCGGATTGCCAAAATTATTTCACTGATAGATGTTCCTGAGTGCTATAGGCTTAATGGAACTAACTTTATAATTTAACAAAGATAATGTATGTGAAACTAATATTTAACTAGTAACCACGGAGTTTCTTGCTCGTTCTTCCATTCCATTGGAATCTATCTTCACTTTGGAACGAGCAAATAGCTTCTCTAAGAGGACTGACCATCTTACTCGTAAAACTTCGTTTGACGTTAAAAAGTGTTTGTAAGGGACTAATTAAAATAAATGATTTTGACTTTGACTTTGAAGATTTCTTTTCGATGGAGATCTTGTTGCCAGCTAACCTAGCCTACCTATCTGGTCAGTAGATAAAGTTGGGAAAGATGATGTTTCCAGTAACTCTTAGTAAATTCCTCCAATCTGCATTAGTATCAATTATTCTGTAACATGAACTTTGTTTTATTTAATTTATACACGAAATTTTTAATTTTGATATCAATATAAATAAGGGAGTATAATTTTTGTTTTATTTTGTTTTAAATAGCAAACGTAGACAGCCTATGTGGGAGAGCCATGCTTTGGCATGATTGCCAGATCCCTATCTTACCCACAAAAGCCGGAAAATTTACATAATGCACAAAATGCACGTGACACCTTTAGTGCTGCGGCTTACATTGGTCATTCGTCTGTTCGTTAGTGAATACAGGCCTCCTAAAAACCTCCTTGATTAATATACACACCAAATAAAAAAAATATTACATGCAAAATAATATATACGTTTATTGATTACAGGTTTCATTATACGAAAACAGTTATTCGATTATGACAAACAAAACGGCGCCACTGTCGCTTAAGGGCTTTCTTCCTTATATTTAGCTTCATTAAATTCCAATTTCATCTCAAAAAACTTGGTTAGCTTTTGTTCCTCAATTTGAAGCTTTTGTTTCTTTATCTATGCATTCAGGGGCATTGACCAGCTCTGGGCATTGACACAAGGGTACACAGGATGTGTTCATTTCTTTGCGAAGGTATCCAGGTTTACAAGCGCACCCTTTTTCGCAATCTTGTTTGCCGTAACAGTCGTAAAAGGCGACAATTGAAAAGCAGATTTCTGGTGGACATGTTTGCTTGCAGTCTGAGTATTCTTCATTTTCACCTGGACAAGTTGGCGTTGATTCTGGAAAGATGTTTGGTTTTTTAGTTTGGTTATTTTTTGAGTGGAATGTGTGATGACGTTTTTATAGGGTAGAAAGAGATGTGTCATATATGTGTGCTGTGTGACTGGCTGCCGATTCTCTTATGTTATAGGTCGGCAAACGAGCAGACGGAATACCTGATGGTAAGCAATCAGCGCCGCCCATGGACAATCGCAAAGGAGAAGTTACGAGTGCGTTGCCGACTTAAGTTTTAGGGATTGAGGAGGGTTTGGGGGGAGGGGAAGGATTGGGCATAGGGATTGTGAATTGCTAAATCAAGGAGATTATATGTAGTGTAGACGAAAAATGCACCGCTGGCGCGGCCTTGAACAGTAGAAGGATTTAGGTGGTTTTTAGTCAGTAAGTGTCTGACACTTTCTGTTGCTGACGCAAAAAGAGGGGTGTTATAAGTTTGACGAGTCTGTCTGTCTGTCTGTCTGTGGCACCATAGCTCCTGAACGAATAAATCGATTTCAATTTAGTTTTTTTTTTGTATTACAGGTGTTTTACGAGCGAGTGTTCTTAGACGTGTTTGATGAAAATCGATTGAGCCTTTTAAAAGTTATGGGGGGTTAAAGTGTGGAAGAAAAACCGAATGTCTGCAAATATGCTCAAGTGGTATATCATATTTTTTTTTATGTAAACGATCGACAAACTAGCAGACGGATTACCTGATGGTAAGCAATCAGCGCCGCCCATGGACACTCGCAACGGAGTAGTTACGAGTGCGTTGCCGACCTTTTAGGGATTAGGGATTTGGAGATTTAGGGATTGGGGAGAGGAAGGATTGGGCCTCCGGTAACCTCACTCACACGGTGAAACACAACGCTGTGGTTATTTCACGCCGGTTTTCTGTGAGGCCATGGTATCACTCCGGTCGAGCGGACCCATTCGTGCCGAAGCATGGCTCTCCCACACTTAAAAAGTTAGCATCATATGAAAGGTTATGACTTGTAGTCACAAAAAACTAAAACTTTAATAAGTTTCACGTGTCTGTTTGTGTGTCTGTGGCATCGTAGCTCCTGAACGGATGAAACGATTTCATTACGTTTTTTTTTTGTATATATATTATACTTTTTAAAGGTAGCTTATGTTTTTGGTGTCGGGGGTTATTTTAAATTTTTAATTTGTTGATTTTATCTTAATATCTTTATATTATGAGTTTTTTAGTGGCATTCAAACTGGGTCTAAATAGAATTGTGTGATGTGTATGTACGTTAAAAGTAGTGTTTTCGTAGGCTATCTACACAAGAAGAAATCCAATGTTCTAAAGTAATAATTTCTATTTCAGATCGTGCTTCTGAAATTTAGCGTGGCTTTACAATAGGTGTATGTAAATTCAAGTTGTTGTTGCTATATATTATTCTGATTGTATAAATGAGCCGGTTGAATTTTATTAATGGCATCATAAAATAAGAGAGATTAATATTAACATAATGTCGGTTCTATATTATATTTAAATATTATACTTAAAGGGATGATAAGACAAAAAATTAATGCATTCAGTGTTTAAGTATTTATTTATTACATAATTTTAATTTATTTTAAAAATACAAATAAATATAGAATTGTAAGTAGTTGAATAAAATACTGGCAGTGGCATTTGTAATTTTTCGCCCAGTTCCTAATTGCTCTTACAATCAGGTGAATATTTCATCTCAGGACATTGACAGATTGGTATACACGGAGAATCTAAGGATTTCCTCAAAAACCCTGGCTTGCAGACGCATCCATTTTGACAAGACTCGTTAGCATCACAGCTGAACTTGGCCACTAGAGAGAAACATATATCTGGTGGGCAGGACTTTTTACAAGTTGTAAATACTTCGTTGGGCCCTGCGCACTTCGGTTCTGAAAAGGTCAAAGATATTTTACAAATCTATACTAATATTATAAAGTGGTAAAATTTGTAAGTTTTGTAAGTTTGTATGTAGGGGGTAATCTTTGGAACCGCTGGTCGGGTTGCCAAAATTGTTTCACTGATAGATAGCTTCAATGTTCTTGAGTGCTATAGGCTATGAAACATCACGCTATGATCAAATGGAGCCGAGCAGTTTGTGGAACCGAGCGAGAGTAGCTAGAAAAATATAATATTGGTAAAACGTTATGAATACCTATGTCGGCTTTAAGCGTCATGTCTTTAATAATACTTTCTGTTACTACTTTATGGATTTTTTGTGATAGGTCGGCAATCGGGTAGACTTATTACCTCGTGGTAAGCAATCGGTGCCGCTCATGTACACCCGCAATATCAAAGGAGTTCTGAGTGTGTTGCCGGCCTTTTGGGGATTAGGGTTTAGGAGATTTTGGGATTTGACCTTTTTGTGTGGTTGTGTCACACCGGTTTTCTGTTTTTAGTAATTTAATAAAAATGACAAATATGAAACTTTTTTAGTTAAAAAAAAACGATTTTTTTAGAACCATGGTGCTTCTAAATTCTCAACAACTATTTTAAAATGTTTTTATGATTTTGCTATTATTCATTAATTATTAATTAAGTATATCACATGGGTGGGGGATATAGGATCGCTACAGGTATATAAGAAAAGAAACTACCTATATAATGTATAAAAATATGTTTATTTAAGCATTGTATACTGGTACAAAAATAAAAAAAATCTCAACAGTTTATCAATAGGTTGCTTCTGGATTATTTCTTCAAGCACGTTAATAAAGTATCTACAGTATTTTCATATTCAACTTTTAACTTTCCAAGCAGGATAGTTTCAATTAGGGTGGTTTTTTTTTGTTTTTTTTTTCTATGGATGTTTATATCTGAACTATATCCTTATAGTACGGGATGACAATTTTCTCTTCTGGTTTATAAGGATATCCGAAAGGTTCTGAAAAAAAGTAATATGTATGTGTTAAAAAGTCACAAAACGGAAATACAAATATTACTCTCTCATATGGGGGTACCTATATATTTTTATATTTAATTAATTACATAGAATTTTTCTAATGGTAACATTCGGTATTTTAAATCTCTTACTTAATAATGGCTATTTAAATCCGGAGAAAATACTTAGAGTTTTTAATAATACGTGCTTTTTGGGCGGTTAATAATAAACATAATATGATTATAAATAGCCAAACAGAAAATAATAAGAAATAATAAAATAAGTAATCTTAAAATTTTCTTTCTCATTTACTTCAGAACATTGGTTAGAAATAGCATAAAGCCAAAGCCGAGCCAGGTAAATTTCAATAAATTTATCTACCTACATTCCATAAGCTAGGAAAAGGTATGAGAAAAGAGATACTTACCACATTGGTCAATAGGTACGCAAACATTCTTAGCATTCCTGACGCGGCCATCTTTGCACACACACACATTCTCACAAGGTTCGGTGGGCGTCAAACATGATACTTCGACGTATAAGTTGTGACAAGTCTTCACTGGTGGACATGAGTGCAAACATAGTATTTCTTCATGCTCTCCACATTTCAATTCATTACCTTTAACAAGAGTAGTGCCTAATTAAAATAATGTTTGTTACATAATTCCTTCAGTACAAATGATGGGTGAAATTTTTCCATTTTCCTTTTTTTTTTACAATCGGCTTTGCTCAATCCCAGAGGAGTTATGATTACGTTGCCGGCCTTTTGGGGATTAGGGCTTCGAAGGTTTGGGGACTGGGAAGAGATTGGGATGGGGGAACGATGATTAGGCCTCCAGTAACCTCACTCACACGACGAAACAGAACGGTTTGGTACTCTGTGAGGCCGTGGTATGGGTATCACTCCGGTTGAGCCGACCCATACGTGCCGAAGCTTGGTGTTCCCACAAGTGTCTGACAAGGCAAGGATCACTTGATCATATTGATCAAGTTTTTAGTATAATTTTGATAAATTTAATTATAGCTCTACTTTTCCTCATCAACTTGTTACTTAGTACTACTGTCCAAAGCAGCAGATCAAGATATCTCAAACTATTGTAGGAGAACCATGCTTCGGCCCGATTGGGTCGGCCTCACAGAAAACCGGCGTGAAACAACCACAGCGTTGTGTTTCGCCGTGTGAGTCAGGTTACCGGAGGCCCAATCCTTCCCCGATCCCTCCCCAATCCCTAAATGTCCAAAAACCTAATCCCTCAAAGATCAGCAACGCACTCGTAACTCCTCCGTTCGTGTGTCCATGGGCGGCGCTGATTGCTTACTATCAGGTAATCCGTCCGCTCATTTGCCGACCTATTATAATAATAATAAAAGAAAAAAAATCTACAGAAAACTAAATTTCAACCTTTTGTGTTACCGTAAAAAATGATGCGCTACTGGCAACTGGTCTTCGTACCGTAGTTTTTATCAGTCTTGCACGATGCTCAACATATTTTTTTAAAACAATTCAATAATAATAATGAACTAAAACAAATATCAATAAGTTACTATCTACGAAAAAATAACTTCATACTTATCACACCAAGAAACATTCCTATAGGCAGTGTACAATAGATTTAGTACTTCCCCAAGTCGATATCTATGTAGATATCAATGAATCTTGTTATGGACTCAGGAAATACCACAAATAAACATTTTCCTTCACCTTTTTTTGTTGTTTGTAGAATTGCACTAGTCATCATGTCATAACTATGTAGTCGCTTAGGCATTAAAGAGCGTAAAAAATAGTATGGTTAATTAAACGGCGTAGGCAGACAATTTTTTTTTCATTTTTTTATGATTGTAAGGTTTTATAACTTTTTATAAATGGAATAATATTAATTTGAGTTTGTTTTAAGAAGGTTAGAACTAAGGTACTTATTTAACAACCTACAGCTTCAATATTTTTATAAAGATAATAAACTTATTCGCTTAATTATATATTACTACTTAATACACAAAAATATGCACATGCGGAGGTAATACCTTAGGCATTGTCTTTAAGTTGACATAATTATATTAGGTGATGCAGAGATGACATTGGCCAGTAACATCAAGTAAATATAATTAACTTCTGTATATAACATATTATATGCTCGTATGAGTAAAACCTTCGATCGATCGATAGTAGGTACTATTATTGATCGAAGAATAAAATATTGTAACTTTACATAATCAAAGACAAACTACGTGCTTAAGCAAAACAGATTAATAATTTATCATTTGATCGATTTTAAAATTAAGAATGCAAAAAGCGCGCCATTTTTTAAATAGTTTGTATTTACTAGAGGCGCGGTCTTCGTAACTGTTTGACGTCTATATTATAAAAAAAGAAGAAAAAAACGTCATAGGTAGGTATGTGCAGAAAAAGGTTTTATTTAATAAATTTGTAGATGCAAAAAAAAACTTGCCTTGTTTTGTTGAGTATGCTGCAGACAAGATAACAGGAAAATAGTGCGATGAACTTAAACATCTTGACGTCCACTCACTTAACTGGTTGGAACACCAATGAAGGTTCAGCTAATCTGCTTTATTTATACCAGTATCAGGGTTCATTTTGTTATCGATCGAGTGTTATAATAATAATACTGAAGTATAATTTGTGTGGTAATTTCCTTTTAATTATATCAAGTTTTTTAACGAAAAACGAACACACGAAGTATGGAACATTCAAACATTTTTTTTTTTAAATTCGAATCTGGAATTTCGATTTTTCGAATTATGTAATTTAAAATTGGGTCTGCTCGATTTTATTTAAATATTAGACGCATATTTTATTTTTTAATAAGTTAAAAACATCTGCAGTACATTGATCTTAAGTTTACAATATGTATTTACCTAATATTCACGATATAATACTGTTTCTAGGTCAAAGCTTTCTATATACCATAAACGTCAAGCGTGCTATAATATTTCAATCGCATGCTTTAGAACTACTGCCTTATTTATATTGATACTTTTCAAAACTACTTTAACGGAGTCTTGCATTTAAAACTCTTACATAGTAGTCTAAGGCATCATGAGGTAGGTAATTTTGTTTCTTTTTAATGCGTATCTTCTCCCATCCTGTGTAGGCCGGAGGAGGGGGAAAGAGTATGACAAACTGCTGGGTTCTCTATATTGTTCAAAAAATTAAACTAGCTACATATTTCGTAGGTTGTGTACAATGGGTTTTCTTGTTTCACTATCTTTAATGTAGGTCTCACAAAGAGTTATTCTCTCTGGAATCGGACCGTGATGCCGCGGTTGCAGTTGCCTAGTCTCGACGCCAGCTGTGCTGTCAACTCTTGCTGACTTAAATTCACCCTGTTTCTTCTTAGGCTCGAAGCAGGGCCGCGGTACATCATTGTGCTACCTGTCTCACGACCCTAGCTAGGAATCTGCCATAATGGGTCCTATCTATGGTGGTCTAATGGCCCTTTAGGTCGTGCGAGCCTCACGACGTGCCTTACTATTGGATCTGGTTTTGTTATCCTATTTTAGAGGTAAGGAAATCATCAAATATCTTCTCCTGAGACGAGACGGAGTGTCTAATTCTAAAATGGCCGGGGTCATATTATCATTCTTGCATCCACAACCTCGGTTTCGTACCCTGCTTGCCACCCAGAGATTTTTTTTTTTTTTCGTTTATTAAACAACAACATTGATACAATCATATTAACCTGTATATACATACCAGCAAAAACCATCGAGGGTTTAACAGCGGTATGTCAGAAACGACAACTCGGTGCCAAAACACAAAATAAAGTAGCAGGTATACAATACATACACAGTAAGAACAAAATATACTTTCTCGATCGCATTATGACAAGAAGTATCTCTTCAACACTTTTGAACAGTTTTTTATATTTATTGTCTTACAGATTTCCATAGGTTCCATAATTGCGCTTATGTTTGCCAAGGATCATCGTGCGAATTTGATTTGGTTAGGTTGCTTTAACCAATACAACTGTGCACTCAGAAATAGTTTCCCATCGTCTGGTACAGGTTCATAGACATATTTGATATTATTTCAGTGGAACGAACCTATATTTAAAAACTCATGTACGGGACCCATTTCATAGGTTTGTCCTGCCACGTTTATTTTTATTTCAAGTTCATACTTAACCAGTATCATGTAATTCGAAACTGGTTTTTGTATTAATAACATGTATAATATTTTCCTCTCAAGTGTAGCATACGTACAAGTCACGTGTACTTATTTTTGTTTCCAAACATTTTTACATACTTATACATATTTATCTATAGGAATGGTTGATTTGTTTCCAATTAGTTGAATGGATGAAAGATCTATCTATCTATCGATCTGTGTATATACATATAATTGTGTTGGTAAGCGCGTTACTTAATAACAGCTGGAG